GTTGCCTTGCCAAGCAACGACAAGGGAGAGGGGATCGCGGGGACCAGCCCTCAGTTATGGAGAAGAAATATATAAACAACAAAAATTTACACAGTAAAAATCCGTGGTGGCTAAGCTGCCGTTCTCAAAGACAAAGAAGCGAAGCTAAACAGAGTCGGAATACAGCGTAGCGGTGTCAAGTTCGAGTGTCGTAGTGGACAGCGACAACAAAAAAAACAAATCCAATATTTTTGCGAAGCTAACACAAAAAATTTAGGTGTAAGCAAAAAATATACGATTTTTAATTCTTCAGCAGCGCCCTTGCGCTTGTATGGGAATATAAAATATGTGTGTTTTAATATATGGCTACACGTAAATGAAACTCATAACTGTGAAATATATTTAAATTAAATGCAAACAATACACAAAATAATACATGTAAAATCACCAATACACTTGTCAAGCAAATAATGAGTGTGAGTACGAAGTTGTGTTTGTGGGGCTGCAGAGAATATTCTAGCAGCGAGTTGTATTTATTTTAAAAAAAAATGTAAATGCAAATGCAGACACTGGGAAAAATTCTTGGACTGAAGTGCTCACTTACATGTTTCCCAATTTGTAAAGAATGGGTAAATTTAGTTGGGCGCCAATTAATGAAAATGGGGGGGACGGGGGTAATCTTGTGTACTCCCTCGCCGCTGTCTCCAGTAAGTATTAACCGGATGGCTGATGTCGGTATCTCCGTGTGTGGCCGGTTGGCCTGTTTAATCCAATGCAGAGATGGGACGATGTCGGTATCTCCGTGTATGGCCGGTTGGCCTGTTTAGTCCAATGCTAAGATGGGACGATGTCGGTATCTCCGAATGTGGCCGGTTGGCCTGGTTAATCCAATGCTGAGATAGGATGTTTATGATGGAAGGTTGACTTCCCTTCAATACCGCTGGCCTAGAGACTCAGTCAGTATGATAGTAATTAAAAGAGTTAACGACAAAGTGTCGAAGATTCATTTATAAGAGCTGGTGCTCTGTATTTATTGAATGTCAAATATGAACTGAACTTAAAAGCTAACAAAAGTGAATATCATAGCGGCCACTCCAATGGGTAGTGTTTGCCGGCTATGCATGAGCTTCCGGCCAGACGCTGTGTCAGCAGTTTGGCCGGAGCGAGCTTTCGGGCGGACGGTCATTGCCGTTGCCCGGCTGAGTTAGTTAACTTATATTTTACAACAATTACCTGTCGAATGCCGTTTAAATTATTCGATTACCTTATTTGGTTCAAAAGATATGATTTTTGCAACGCTAAATGAGAAAAGGCGCTACTTTGCGTCGTCGAGTCAACAAGTACAGCCGCAGTTTTTCAACGGGAAAAAAAAATCATCGTCGTGGAAAAATTTATCAAGTTTCAATCACCGTCGAATAAATTTAAATCGCCGTCGATTAAACTAAATCATCGTCGTGGAATAAACATTTAACGAAACTAACTCGTCGTCAAATAAAATTTGCAAGCACAATCGAAAAGAAAAATTGTGAATTTCAACGCCGACGATCACGTGCTGAAGGTAGCCGAACGACTGCAGGATTGTGAGGCGGAACTTACCGCCACTCTAACGGATAGGAAACAACGTTCGCCGAGTCCAAACCCACACCCACCGGGTCCAACACAACTGCAAGTGCCAGCACTGGTACCGCCGACGTGGCCAGAGACGTGGAGACCATCCCGGCCAGGCGAGAGATTCTTCCAAAGAAGGCGGAGATGTCAGCAGCCACGCTGTCGGAAAAGCTGAAGAACTGGGGGATAAGTTTTGATGGCACCACTGATCCCATCACCTTCATCCAACATCTCGAGGAGCGAGCAACCGCCTATGAAGTCGACGTGGAGAAGATGCCGCAGGCCATCCCTGGTCTGTTGACGGACACGGCCGAACACTGGTTCCGGACGAGCCAGCTGTTAGGAGAATCAAGGACGAAGTTCAAAAAGGCGTTTTTGGATTTCTTCTTCGAGGTATTTCCAGCGACTCGAGGATGAGATCCGCACTAGGGATCAACGACGAGGGGAGACTTTCAAATAATATCTCGTCAACATCAGACTGTTGATGCACCGAGCGGGGTATAACGCGGAACAGGAGTTTGAACGCATCTATGAGAACCTCCAACCGGAGTACCAGATGTACGCCAGGAGGCACGATTTTACCACGTTACCAACTTACCAATTTGGCGGTAAATTACGAGGTCACCCGGGAACGGAGCACTGGAAGCCATGCCAGGATGCTAGCCGAACCACAACCAGCGCCAAGGAGGAGCGAATACGAGCCACCAGCAGGTCAACAAAACTTCTCGCGAACAGCCAGGCGACCACCCACCCCGACCGCGGTTCCACAACACGGTCCTCGAGTAGGGAATCTGTCGATGGTAACCAATTTCAGGTTTGCTTGTAGGAATTGTGCTCAAGAGGGCCATCAGCAGGCAACGAGCCGCAACCCCCGAGTCCTTTTCTGTTGGGATTGTGGGCGCAGGGGAATACGCATGGTCGAGTGTTGCAGATGCACCCAGCCGGGAAACGAGAGGAGTCTTCGCCCACTCGGGGAGCGGACGGAGACTGCCTACTGAAATCCCCGAAATTAGGAGAAATCTTACAGGTGCAGGCGAGCAGAATTATCGCTCTGGTGCGAATCGAGGGTCAGGGGTTTACAGCTACTATCGACACTGGAGCCAGCAGTAGCTTCGTGAGCGAACGGGTCGTTCAGCGCGTAGGGACGCCACAGAACGTACGGTCGGTACGCACTCATGTCAGCCTGGCCGAAGGCTCCCGCAAGGAAATAACGAAGTCTCTGGAAGCCAAAGTCCAGCTGGACCAACGTTGGGTAACGTTTCCACTGTTAGTTCTGCCTTCGATCATGGAAGACGTGCTCTTGGGCATGGATTTCCTCTGTGGCGTATCTGCCACTATCCAATGTGGCCGCGCTTCACTGCAGCCGAACCCTTTCTTGTTAACCAGTCCCAACTACAACTTAGCTATGCCGTCGCTTTTGACAAACGCGTTCACTCCGGAAACATCAGACCCCATCGAGGCCGCAGAATCCGCACCAGCCAGCAACGAGCCAGATAATGGGACGCAAGATACCCCGACCAGCAGCATTTTAGGGTCTCGAGACGACAACGCCGTGCGAAACAATCGGTTTCGACGAAATCAAGCCACCATGTCAGCGGAGCCAGCAGTAGAACCCGTAGCGGAAAGGAGAGCGCCTTCACCAGCCATACCAGAGCCCATATCTGACGCTGGAGGAGCACTAGCCGTCATCACCGAAAACACGGAGCACGCAGACTTAGAGCCCTGGGTGAACCAATTTCTACAGGAGGAATTGGCTAAATTCGACGGATTGACGGGAGTGTCAAATATCGCTGAGCACACAATCACGATGCGGGATGACAAGCCCTCATTCAGCACCGGCCACATTCCAACGGGCGCTTGACAGCGTCATAGGACCAGATATGAAGCCCAACGCGTTTGCGTATTTAGATGATATCATCATCATCCGACGCACTCTGGAAGAGCACGTACCGCATCTACAGGAAGTATTCAGACGGCTACGAAAGGCGAACCTTCGCCTCAACGCAAAGAAATGCAGTTTCTTTAAGCGCAGCCTGGTGTACTTGGGGCACGTCATTAGCGAGGAGGGAATACACACCGATCCCGAGAAGATTTCGGTAGTACGGCAACTGAGTCCGCCTACCACATGCAAGGAACTGAGGTGATGTTTGGGTATCGCGTCCTGGTACAGGAGATTGGTACCAAACTTTGCTAGCGTAGTGCAGCCCATGTCTCTGCTGCTCAAGAAGGGAAAGAAGTGGCAATGGGAAAAGGAGCAGCAGGATGCGTTCGAAGACCTAAAGAGCAAACTGACGGAGGCGCCGGTTCTTGCCTGCCCTGATTTCAACGAAAAGTTCGTGTTGCAAACGGATGCCAGCGACATCGGCCTCGGAGCGGTGTTAACACAAACAATCCAGGAAAAAGAAAGAGTCATCGCATTCGACAGCAGACGCCTCATCGCTGCAGAGGAGAACTACTCCGCAACAGAGAAGGAGTTTCTGGCTATCATATGGGCCATCAGGAAACTCAGGTGCTACTTGGAAGGATATCGATTTGAGGTGATAACGGACCACCTCGCTCTGAAGTGGCTCAACTCGATTGAGAATCCCACCGGCCGTGTAGCGCGCTGGGCGCTAGAACTGCAACAGTACCAATTCGATGTCACCTATAGACGCGGGAGCCAGAACGTCGTCGCTGACGCACTGTCTCGACAGCCTTTGGAAGTACTGCAGATGATCCAGGAGGATAAGCCGGAAAGTACATGGTACCAGCGGATGCTGAAGCTTGTTCAGGACAGACCTAAGGATTACCCGGACTACGTGTACGAGAACCAACAGCTGTATTGACACATCGGATCTCGACGAAGACTCCGTGCCATGGAAACTGTGTGTGGCCAAGGAACACCGGCAGCGAGTTCTGGCGGAATGCCATGATCAGCCCACGGCAGGACACCTCGGAATCAGGAAAATCGCCCAGAGATACTACTGTCCGGGCCTCTTTCGCGATATTTCCAGGTATGTTCGCAAGTGTGACACTTGCCAACGGTTCAAAGTTAGTCAAGCTAAGCCATCGGGGAAAATGTTCACCAGGCAGATTAACGAGCCATTCGATACTGTCTGCGCCGATTTTATTGGGCCTCTTCCGCGGTCCAAAAGTGGAAATATGATGTTGCTCGTATTCTTCGACGCTTTCTCGAAATGGGTCGAATGGGTTCCAGTAAGAAAAGCCACCTCAGCACACCTAGAAAAGTCCTTTAGGGAGAGGATTTTAAATCACTTCGGGGTCCCTCGCACTTTTGTCTGTGACAATGGGACACAGTTTACGAGTCGTTCCTTAAAAACCTTCTGTAAGCAGGCGGGGATGGAGATCCAGTATACAGCGCCCTATACCCCGCAGCAGAACCCGACATAGAGGCCAATCGAACCATTAAAACAATGGTCGCCCAGTATATCGAGGACAAAAAGACGACTTGGGACGAACTCCTGCCCGAATTGAACTTGGTGATAAATATCAGCATCTCAGACTCAACCGGATTTTGTCCGGAGTTCATCGTCCAAGGCCGAGAGCCACAACTCCCGGGGGCCTTGTATGATGAAGTGACTCCAGGGCCAAGCCAAGCGCCACGTTCACCGGAAGCGAAGGCGGAATTGCTACGGGATATTTTCAAGGTGGTTCGAGAGAACACTCAACGAGCGGCGGTGGAACAACGTAAACATTACGATCTCAGGCGACGTTCATGGAGGCCAACCATAGGGTCGCTGGTCTTTGTGAAGCAGCATCACTTGTCTAAGGCTGCGGACAACTTTGCCGCTAAGCTAGCTCCCAAGTATGAAGGCCCGTACAAAGTAATCAAATTCCTTTCTCCCACCATAGTGCGGGTGCAGCATCTTCACAGCCGGCAACGCCGAACGGCATCCCTAGGGGATTTGAAAGAAGCAGTCAACGAGCCAGAAACCCAGAATCTGGTGCCCAGCCGACTTGGCCAAACAGAGGACGCGCAGACGACGGAGCGAGGAGCGTTAAACCCCTGAGCAGAGGAGCAGCAGCCGCAGAGACACAGCAGACCAGGATACCCGCGGACGGCGGAAGAACACACGACGATAACAACGCAGCAGCAGTCCCGGAAGTCCGTATGAAGACGGCACGACAGCAACAAACTTGCTCAAAATAAGCAGACGAGCGACGGTCGATCTGGCCGAGGCAAGAGCCACCTAGGAACACTGATACAGGAGCCAATAATTGAGTCAGTGAGGCCACTTGCTGGAGGGCGCGCCTTCCCAACGTCCCACTGCCCTTAGTGGGAACTCAACGCTCCCAGTGCCAGCTTAGCGAATCCGTCCCCATAATTACTAACTGCCCTTAAGACTTAGTTAGTAATAGTCAAAACAACGCGCTAATAAACCTTTGTCTTTCCTCCACAGAACAATGGCATCGGACTATTCGGGCCATTTGTGGCGCGCGGCGATCCAAGCCACGGCCACCCCAGAAGTCTCCCGCACGGAGGGAGTGGTCATCAATTATCCGGCCGAGAGAGATGTCGGTTCCCTGAAGACCGAACCCCAGCCGTGTGCCCTACCCGAGGAGGTCGATTGGGTCGCCTTCAACGACGCCATGGACAACTGCTAGGAGATCCTGTCGGGGAAGAAGCCGGTGCCCGATCTATACCGAGCGACCAGCCACGCCGGCGCAGCTGCGGCGGTGCCCAGCCGGGTGCCAGCCGCCCGTCGCCGGGTGACCTTCGGGTCGGCCGTGGAGATCCCAATATATCCACACGGCAGCCCAAACGGAAGCGGCAGAAAGGACGTCAACTTGGCCGTAGGCCCCAGCAGCGAGGACGTCCAGCTGGCCGCCGCAGGTCCCGAGAACAGCGACAACGACGACTTGGCCGCCGACAGTAGCGGAGAGGACGGCGCTTCGGCCACCACGGGCCCCGACAACAGCAGCAACGACGACTTGGCCGCCGATCTACACTAGCGGGAGGACGATTCGGACGCTACCAGACCCAGCAGCCTTGAAGATTTCGACGCGGCCGAGGTAGCCCGACTCAGCCTCGGCGACCCCTTTGCGTGTGTGCAGATCCGGAAGTCGAAGGGGAGATACGACACGGGCGAGCTCAAGCCCAACCCCTGGATGGTCCAATACGAGAAGGACTGCCGTGCCAAGGCCCGTCGCGAGCGAGCCCAGCTGAAGGGACTGCTCTGTACCGGAGTCGACCGAGGTACCGCCTGCCGACCCCGCAGCTAAGGAAGAGGAGCGCGAGGCGTACCCAACGGCCGACAATGACTGGGTCCTGCCGCCTCGACACTGGCACATCCGGGTCCCGGGAGGACGCATCCCTCCACGAACAGGCGGGTCAACCGAAAATTCCTGTTCCACGCGGGCGCCACCCTACTTTTCTAAGGCGAACCGGGTCACTATCTCGCAACGCACCCCGAAGTAAGGGGAGGATGTGAGGAGTCGTTTGACTCACCACCAATACTGGCGGCGGCAACAACAACGGCCACAACACCGGCCAGAACAGCGGACACACCATCAGCTGCCACGTCAACAACAACGGCCATCAGACGCCGGCCACAACAACGGTCATCAGCCGCCACGTCATCAACAACGGCCATCAGAAGCCGCTATAGTCTTCTATATACTCTCACTGCTAGATATGTCAGAACGGGCCGGACCGGACGACTATATCATATAGCTGCCATACAAATGTTCGATAAATTTTTAGAAAAGAAATTATAACTTGGCTGTTTTTCAATATTATTCCATCATTTTTGAGATATCGCCGTTTTATATTATTTCAGAATTTTGTTAAAAATTTTATGAACATCGGACTACTATATGATATAGCTGCCATAGGAACGATAGGGAAAGTAATAGAAAAATTTATAACTTCGTTGTTTTTCAACGTATTTTCATCTACTTTGAGACATGAGCTTTTAGTATTATTTCAGAACTTTGGTAACAATATTATGAAAATCGGACAACTACAGTAGAGTCCGGTTATAGCGACTTTCAAGGGACCGACGATTTTACGTCGTTATACCCGGAAGACGCACTAACCGAAAGGAGCAAAAACAATTTTTTTTTGTTTATTTTTGGTTGATATGATTGTAATAGGTTTTTAAAATAAAACAAATTAATTTTGTAAATCAAAACAAAACAAATTTAATTCAATAACATAAACTTCATAATAAGTCGTATACAGACATAATGCATATTCATAGGCATAATAAAGTATTAATCTTATTTCTATATTATTATATATTTCTTTTTATACATAATTTAAATAATCAGTGATTTTTGATTGTGTTGTTTTTGACTTATAAAAAGAGTCGCGCACAGCATTATTTAGGCGAGAAATGCTGTGAGTTAATGTCTCGTCATTAAAATTAGAATGAACAAATTTATTCAAAATTTCAGCGGCCTTGAGTGCCTCCAAAACGCTAGGCGCTGACACATCTTCATTTTGGTCTTCCACGTTATCGTCGCTGTCCTGTTCGTCATCTAATATGTTCTTAACAATGCTCTCTTCAGATGGTTCCTCGCAAATCGCCACACCACATAAGAACAAATTCATCGAGTTCTTCCTTTGAAATCGGTAGCTGATTGTTTTTGAGCTCTTGCCCAAACCGATAGAGCAATGTCATCCTCGATGTCAATATCGTTTGAGAATGAGCTGCTGGGACCATCTAAATTTTCTCCGGCAGGCCCAGAATGCTTAAAGCAATTCGCAATTGTTAATGGCGAAAGTTGTTGCCATGCATCATTTATCATTAAAATGGCATCAAGGACGGTAATTTTCGGGTAATTTTCATCTTTGTTTTCATCCATATTGCTGATTATTTTAAGTACGAGATTTTTCCGAAAAGTTGATTTAATCACTCGAATTATCCCTTGATCCATTGGTTGCAATACAGATGTCGTATTTGGTAGAAGGAATACTAAAGTGATATTCGTTAGGTCACTAATTGTGGGATGGGCTGGACAATTATCAACTAATAGCAATATCTTCTTTTTCTGCTTTTCAAGCTCAGCATTCCAATCCCGTACCCAAGTAATAAAAATTGCAGATGTCATCCATGCCCGGCGATTACTGAAGTAGCCAACAGGCAAAGACTGGACATTTTTAAAGCATCTAGGTCGCTTTGATTTTCCAATAACCAATAATTGTTTTTTAAGATTACCACTCATATTAGCTGCAACAAGCACAGTTATCCTTTCCTTGAACAGCTTCCCTCCAGTGCATTTTTCACCTATAAATTTAAATTTCAATAAACAGATTTCTTTAACATTATTTTCGTTCCCACCTTTAAATTTTAATGTTTTGTCTGGAGTTAATTTGTAGAACAGTCCAGTTTCGTCGGCATTAAAAATTTCGTCATCACTGAAATCCTTACGTAGTGTAGGCCAAACCTTTGTAAGCCACTCGCTTACATCGGTTTTTTGTACAGACAAAGATTCTCCACTTACTGTACTGGCGACGATATTATGCCTGACCTTAAAGCGGCTTATCCAACTAGCAGAACAATTAAAATTTTCAATTTTAAATTGTTTAGCGAAAAAATTAGCTTTTTCCTGAAGCAATGGACCGCTTAATGGGATTCCTCGACTGCGTTGCATTATGAACCACTGTAACAATGCTGTATCCACTTGATCTTGTGTTGACGCTCTGACGCGTTTTGGCTTTAAGACATTGCTATTAAATAAAGTTTTAATTGTTTCTTTATTTTTTTGTATTGTAGCAATTGTTGTGTGGCACACGCAGAATTCTTTTTGCCAGAGTAACGTTGCGCTCACCGGCTTCCAAGCGCCGAATAATTTGCATTTTTTCTTCAACGGAGAAGCACTTTCGTTTTAAAGACATTTTGCGGGTGTAATGCACGAGTATCAAGCTTAAACTGAATCAGTGTTACGCATTTTGGGCATTAACTCACATTTGTCGAATTTACGCATTTAGCTTTACTTGGAAAAAAGCAGAAAAAACCAGAAATATAACGGGACATGTCATGGAATAGGCTGCACACGCACACGCATTGCACTTCGACTCTCTCTCTCTCTCTCTCGCAGCAGCGTTGCTAAGGCGACAGCTAAAACGGGAGCCGATCAGTGAGAAATACACACATTTCTTACAGCGTCGTTTGATGCTCAAATTTGTTGAAATTATTTCGCTGTATTTTTTTTCATCACGTAGCAATATCCGGTTGAATTGTGAAAAATTTCGTCGGTATAAGCGGCTTGTCGTTAAAAGCGGAGACGTTTTAAGCGAAGGCCCTTTCATATAAGTTTGTATGGGGACCAACCAAGCCATCGAGTTTTCGTCGTAATAACCGGACGGACGCTATAAGCGAAGTCGTTATAGCCGGATTCTACTGTATTTGAATTTGAAGAAACGGTGTTGACGAAAATATCGATGCTGCGGGAAACATACAGTAACGAAGATATGAGAGGAAAATCTCGGGTAGGGGACCGAATTCGGCAACACGAACTGTTCACTGTATAATTTTCACTGCCGCGGCACTCGACTCGAAACACGCGTTCACTGGTTTGATTATTATATATTTTTTTAAATATATTTTGTTTGGCTGAAGGTTGAGGATGTCAATTACCACTCTATGTAAATGACCAAACAACTCGCGGAGTACTGCGCTCCGATTTACATATGTATGTATGTATGTTAAGACCGTTTTATTCTTTGATGTACGGCCGAATATAGGGACATATGTATGTATGTACTGCGTCGCAACATAAAACAAAACAACATACCAATGGAGAAGATCTCTATTTTAAATAATGGCGGGCGCGGGAAAGATAGGAAGTACGGGCACACTGTCAACGGGTGGCAACGCCAGCAAAGACTTAGCGTACCTAATCCCGAACAGCTGGTGACAATCGAGTAGATGTGGTCGATCTGGCAACGCCCCGCCTATCGACCATCGCAAAATGATCGATTATCGATCTGCGGAAAACAGCTGTCGGCCGGCTATATAAAGCGACGCACCGTCCAGTGCAACTTCACTTTTGCGGAGCAGCC